TGAATCTGATAGGTCCAATGAAGTAAAACTGACAGCTGATGTTGAAAATATGTGAGAGAGGGTGAGATAGTGAATGAGATAGTTAAATAGTGAGTGAGTGAGTGAGTGAGAGAGAAAGACTTTTCTGCGTTCCATCAGCATGGCTGATGCTAACCTACCGGAGAGCAACTCACTGTCCCTTCTTGGTCTTGTGTTTTCCTTTGGCATGAAATGAAGTCTTTATATTGTGTCAATTGCTATATCTGCTTCCAGATCATCTCATACTAATGCAAGGAGTCCATCAAGGCTCTATCCTTGTATCTTTGCTGTTTTTGATCTTCAGCAACAACCTTCCCCATGTCATCAGCTCCCAACTAGGTATTTATGCTGATGATACATCTATTTACTCCTGTCTTAATGGTACATCCAATAGACCCGACAAAGTAAAACGAGCCGCTCTCAAAAATGACCTCCAATCAGTTATTAACTGGGGCAAGAAATGGCTTGTAAATTTTAAATCATTCAAAACGAAACTGCTTTCTTTTAACTGCTATCTTCATCAAAGAGAACCATTTCTGCCTTTCATCAGCATGGTTGATGCCAGTTTTCAAGACAGTAACTCATGCCACCTTTCAGACTCACATTTTCTTCACAGTCTCAAGAGATATGATGTCCATGGCCAAATATTTGATTTACTCCAACCGTTCTTAAAAAAATGTCGACTTGAACGACCACAATTCTAGATCCTTTCACATTGATGCAGAGGTTGCAAGGATCTCTATCCTTGGACCCACGCTTTTTCTTATCTTCATCAACAACTTTCCTGATGTCATCTGTTCCTAACTAGGCATTTATGCTGATGACACAACCATTTACTCCTATCTTGTATTGTAGTGCTGCCTTGGGTCAATAGGGTGGCTGCTGGAAGACCCTATGTCTTGCAACAGGATTCTGCACTATGGTACAGAAGCAGGAGAACCCAGTCATGGCTAATAGACAATCTCCTGTCATCGTAGAAAATCTGATAAACTGCATAAATGACAAATTTATAAATTTTAACACAAAATTATTATTATTTCCATTATTATTGTTGCTTCCGTTATTATTATTTACCTTTTCCTGTTATTATTAAGTATTTTTTATTCTTATTTTTTGGGGGTTTTGTGTGGGGATCAATTTACAAGCAATTTGTATAGAAAATTTAACCCCCACTTCTTAAAACAAAAACTGCCACTTCTTAAAACTGCTTTCATTTAATCACCACAGAGAACCTTTTTTTGTCTGTCATCATCAATCATGCTAATGTCCAGTAGGTCAACACTATGCCTTCTTTTCCCTTGATAATGAAGTAAATCTCTTTCATCATCTCCTGCAAGGACTGTTGGATCACTGTGTTGTGCCAGAACATTTTTCTTGTTGGAATCCATCTTACACATTTACAAATCTAACATTGTCTACCATGCATTGAATACTGTTGCCATATAGGGTCTGGTGTTCTCGCTATATATCTCAAAATTCTTGACAAAGTCCAAAGGAGGATCTGCAATGTAATCAATCCTGACCTGGCATCTCGATTTCAGTCACTTTCTCATGACATGATATGGATATTCCAGACCAATGTCTTTTTCTACAAATATTTCCATGACAACTGTCCTAGATAACAATGATTTCCCCCAATGTGTATGTACATGAATTTAAGCAATGTTACTACATTGGTGATTAATAAAAAATGTCCCAAAGATGGATATTACCTATTGGACTGACTATATCAGTATATATATATAGATGAGCACAGGATATACCTGGGACTTGCTTTTAATTAGTTGAAGATTTTTCCCTTTAAGCTAGTCGACTCTCTACCTTCATTGGAGAGGAACCCAAACAAGGTTATGCCAAAGAGCAGAGTCTCATCAGGGGAGGTAAACAATACCTATCCGTTTTTTTACAGGGTATCAATGGAGAATTTTTTGCCCAAACGAACTTGGATACCCCACGTTAAAAGTGCCTTGTGCCACATCTGACCTAAAATTACTGATTCGCAAAATATCTTTGCTTCAGCAATTAGTTGGAGATTTTCCCGCCAGCTATGTTGGTGGAACTCTCTGCCTTAGGGCAAGAGGAACCAGAAAAGGGCTATGCCAAAGGGCAGAGTCTTGTCTGGGTTTAGAAGCTATCCGGCCCCGTTTTTTACAGGGTCTACCTGGAATTTTTTATATATATACAGGGCCGGATACCCCACGTTAAATTTGGTCAATTCATACATTTGACTCGTGAGGCAGTGTGGCACATATCCTTACTTCCGAAATTACTAGCCTGCCACCCGATTCCCTGTTTTTCAGTAGTGTATTCTCTTTTACAATAAACCTCTCTTCTTTCATCTTCACGCGTGTTGCCGGTCCTTCACTCGAGTACCACCTTTGTCTGTAACCTTTTTAAGGATACAACAATTAGCAACTCGGTCTCACATTTTTTAATATCCAACTAGCTAGATGCAACCATCATCTCTAACAGTTTTTTTTTTCTTGCACTTCCCACCTGTGGAAATACCTTCCAATTTCTTGCTTCCCTGATAACTACAATCTTGAAAAATTTAAATTCAACATCAATCATTATCTTCTTGGACCCTGTTCCTTGCCTTGCTTGGGGTGAAACAATTTTTTAAAAAACTGATTCATTCGGGTTATGGAGAAGGTTCTGTGAATTACTGAACATGTCAAAAGTGGTTTGCAAATCTTTATGGTGGACATTTTAAGCTGGATGATGCTCCATGGTTGGATCAACAAGTTAAGATCAACAGTGATCACATCAAGACATTATTTAAAGAAAATCAATATTGTCTTTTATTTTTATATAATACACCAAATGAACTTATATGGCAATCTCATGTCTGTGAAAAGCAGTTACACTAAAAATGAAATTTTCATAAGAATAAAAATTAATAATGTTAATAACAATTTAAGAATTTATAAAGTTTTTAATAATTAAGGCAAAGAAAATTGTAACTTGTATTTTTTCGTCGTCATAACATCTTTAGTTCCTTTATCCGCAACTTGAGCCACTTGCTTACGGCATAAGCGTAAACAATGCTGGTCAGAAATTAGAAAGTTCCAATTGGGACTTAAACTTCTGTCACCACACAAGAAACTCGCGACTTTTTTGTCTCTCATCTGCACTTTCGTCTTGCTGACAAACTTTTGACACAAGTAAATGAGATAAAATGCAACTAAAGATTAAAATGAAAGAAAATTACATGTCAAAATTTAAAATAAACAAAAATAATGGTGTTTGAAGAAAAACACATCTCTGATTAAAAAAGGAAAAAAAAAAAAAAAGAATCCTTTATTTTTCAATTTTTTTTTTTTTTATATTACAGTTGATTAAGCAATTCAGATTATGAAGATCAAAAATTTATATGTGGGGGACAGTTTCCCCTGTAAAAAATATACTCCTACCATGTGATACAATATATTTTTATTAACCATACAATATTTCAAATTAAGAAAAAGGTTAAAATTTACATTATTTAAAGCCTATTCTTACTTACCATTTTATTGTATCATGTTAATATTTATAAAATTCCAAATACATACAAAATGGCTTACATCCAAAATTTCAATTAATTTCAAAAAAGCTGCAAAATGCGAATTATAAGCAGATTTTTTTTATTTACCTTTTCCCATTGTTGTTATTTTTTTCATTATTATTATTATTTGTGTATGTTATGTTTCCTGCTTTGTATTCTTTAGAGCCGGGTCCAAACTATGGTTCTTAGGCCTCATAGGAGAATTTTCATTTAATTGATAACACTTTTCTTAGTATATGGGATATTCCTAGTTGGGCGATCTTCTGGGCAAATTGTATGTTGATGTTACCTGTGACACTGTTAATAAAATTGTCTATTCTATTTCTAACGAGGCCCAGAGCTCCAATTACTATTGGTACTGTTTCAATCTTCTTTCTCCTGTTAATCTCGATCTCCAGGTCCTTGTATTTGGACAATTTCTCGATAATTTTCACGGAGGTGTTTCTCTCAGATGGTACTTCTATGTCAATAGGCATACACTTCCTGAATTTCTTGTCTTTTATGATAATATCAGGTTTATTAGCTTTTATTTCCCTTTCAGTTCGAATTGACATGTCCCAGAGGATAGTTACATCATTATTTTGGTAACCACGTCTGGTTGGTGCTCATACCATCTCTCAGTGGTTTCGATTTTGTGCTTCTCGCATATTTTCCCGTGCAAATATGTCGCTACCTTGTTATATCTCTGAGTATAATCATTTTTTTTGCTAGTCCCAGACATCCTGAGATAATATGGTCGACAGTTTCATCATATTTTCTGATTGGATGGGTTAATGAATTTGATTTGGAGTGATAGGATCTGGGATAAGTTTGGCTTTGGTCCTCAAACTGCAACATTTAGGCCTTCATAATCAAATATTTTCAACCTGGTGGTGTGAAGTCTTTGTTAAGTTTTTTTCTGTTGGTTCACAATTGCTCCTTTCTTCTTGTGGTATTTGCTGTACAGGGTATTCATTTTATATTTGGTTGGTAGGGTTCTAGGTACATTATTTCCATTATTATTATTATTATTTCCATTATTATTATTATTATTATTATTATTATTGTTGTTGCCTTCATTATTAAGTATTCACTTTATTTTTTATTATGACTGGGTTTTTTAGGGAGATCAAGAAACAAGCATTTTTGATAGGAAATTGAACCTGATTTCTGAAAATTTAAAAAATTTAAAACAAATTTATTTTTTATATACTTGTAATCTGGAGAGTTTAATCAATAGTAATATGAAAAAATAAGTGGCCAAGAAAAAATTAAAATATTTCCAAGAGACGTGCGTTTCTGTAAATGCAAAAAAAAAAAAAAAAAAATACTACTAGCAATGGAAATTTGTTCCTGTCTTTGACATCTTCACACATGCAACCTGTTTCTTTTCAAAATGACGTATTGTGATTTGGATTCGATTTTCTGTATGACGTTTGTTTCATTTCATTTTTTTGCTTCAAGCTGCTCCTAAGATAAATTGATGATAGGCGGATCCAGGTTGGCTACGGTGCTGTAACTGGAACAACTGAACATATTCCTGTTCCGTGAACTGGGCTCCTTTCTCTGCAATGCCGTCAATGATTGCCTGGAATGGAGGAAAAAAAAACAATCACAAGGAATGAAAAGAGAAATACTAAATAGCATTATAATAAATTTATTTTTTAAGACCGTTAATCTTTAGTTCTTTTGACAAATACATTCTCCAGTTATCATTAAACCCTATGCACCACCCAGTGCACCATTTTTTTAACCACATATACCAGAAGACCAAAGTAGATCAATTTTCATAGCACTTATTTAAAAGAAACCAGAACAAACAAATGCAAATAAAAATTGGACATAAAAGTATAATGAGTCCTCAAGAAACACATTTTTTACAGTTTGAAAACTGAAAGAAGTTAAATCCAATGACAGGACCCAAAAAGTTTTGATTTTAATACCTGGTTAAAGAAGGAGATTTTTAGAGAAATTAACAGGAGATAACTGATAACTGACATCCATTAAAACATGACAGTGGAACTAGATTAGTCTAGAAAGTGAACCAAAAGAAAACAAAAACCACCTGAAGAAGGCCTCATGTACAATCCTAAATAGGAATAAATATGGAACAAAGAAAGATGGGCAATAGTAAAAAATAAATTAAATTTTGTATGTAATACCTCATTTCAGAAATATAGACAGATACTGAAGGGTCGAAACGCCAATAAATATAAAACAAAGATGAGGCAATCAAAAACAATAAATGTTTCCCAAAATCCATAATACCTCATCTCAGATATATAGACAGATAATGAAGGGCTGATTTATTTGAAATAAATATGAATAAAGAAAAAAGATGAGAACAATAGTCCGAATAATGTAAATAGTGTGAAATAATATATCATCTAGAAATATAGACAGATATTAATGAAATTTTTATAGTAAAACTTATCATCCACATTCTGATGAATAAAGCCTGCAGCAGAATTAAATTTAATTTTTTTTTAAAATAATAAATGTCAGTAAGAAGTCATTTCTGAAGAAAAGAAAATTTTAAACAATATTATTATTATTTTAAATTCAAAGTAATTATTTACCTTGAGTTTCAAGTTAATAGTGAGAAATGGTGATTATCCTTAAGGAGAGATAATGTAACAATTATCAAAGTAAACACAAACTCAAATTAAGGTTTATTATTATTTACTAAGCTTAGTTCAGTTTGCTACAAGGCCACACATTTTTGGCTTTTGAGCCCTCTGAATGATTCTTTCAGCTCAATTATGGACCTGTATTAATATTATTTGAACTTAAGAAGAAGATTAACAAGGGTTCATGTCTGGAAACCCTGGTCTGCATTGAAATGCCATAATTCTTGAAAGAGCTTAAATTTTGCATTTAAAGAAATGCAAACAGATGTGAATTCCATTGGGCAAACAACCTAATGAGTTATATAACAAAAGCTATCCAAATTCCAATGAAAAAAGTACACAACAGAATTAGATGAAAATAGAACAAGATGAGTGCAGTTTTGTTAAAAACACTGGAACAAGGAAGGCAATATTTATACTCAGAATGATATCAGAAAAAGCAATACAAATGCAAAATGATGTATTCCTATGTTTTATTGATTACAAAAAAGTGTTTCATAAAATATGACACTAAGAACTATTTCAACTGCTGGGTAAGCTTGGTTTATTTGGGAAAGATATTAGTAATGATGAAGTTTTAGATAAAATGGAAACAAAAAGGACACTCTCAAAAAATAGGACGAGAACTTTGTCCATCAACAAGTTAATTTTCTGATCAGGAGGTTTTGAAAAGCATGGAACCACATCTTTAATTGCTGGTGTTCCCAGGTCCACCCTGAGCCAAAATTGGTATATTTTGTTAGGGTCCCAGCTATGGGCAAATAGTTAATTAAGGAACAATATTTTTTTAAAAAAAATTTTTACCAGCAATACAATTTTGAAGGAAAAATATTACCAGAAACAGACTTTTGACAAAACAAAATATTACCAGCAATAAAAAATGTTGTCGGCATTAAATAACCGATATTAGGCTGATATTTCGTAAAACAAAATAAACCAAAACCAATGAAACCAAAGAATACATATTCTATTCATACAATCTACCCTATAAAATGTTGTCATCATTAAATAACCTATTGAGGTTGATGATAAAAAAAAGGGTCCAAATCTAAACCAAAGGATACATATTCCATTCATATGAATCTATCCTAACGTGGTTCTAAAAATCGATTTACTCCTTCAATGTCTCGAATTATATAGGATGTAAGTGATCATGGCTGTTCCACAATTTCCTGTCCTTTATAGTTTTTTAATATCTTTTGCTACATTTTCTAATGATTTTTTCCAACCATTTACATAAGCCCTTTAGGTTAAAATATCTTGAGACTTTTTTTGACCCCTGCCAAATCCTCTGAGTATCAGATTTTTCTAAGTCCTCTTTCCTTACGTTCCCTCTTTCTGATGTTAAATATGAGTGTCCTTTTTGGTTTCACAATGTCTTGGAATGAGGAATTGAAGATCTGAATTTGAATTCCAGTCAAGTTCATTATATTCACTTACACACAAATACGCCTGAGAAAGGTATGAATCCATCTCTTCTCCCCCCAGATATGGGTTAAATAGCAGGTTTGGTTTGGTTTGTTTTGTTTTATGGCATATCAATCTCAATGAGTTATTTAATGCCAACAATTTTTTTTTTCCTGGTAATATTTTGTTTGGTCAAAAATCTATTGCTGTAATATTTTTTTCCTCAAAAATGTATAGTTGGTAATAATTTTTTTATAAAGTATTTATGGTATTAAAACCTAAAAATTTTTACTTTTTGGTAAATTTTTACCTCAGTTTGGGTTAACTATTTGAAAATAGCTGGGACCCTAACAGGTGCTACCACTCCAGTTTTATTGAATAAAGAACACCAGCAATTAAGAGGTGGTTCCAAGCTCCTCAAAACCTTCTGATCAGAGGCCTTGCTGCTGTTTTATTAGTTTATCGTCTTACCCAGGATGCCGGATGTAGTTTATTATCATACCCAGGATGTGTTAAATAGCAGGACAGACTGAGTCCTACAGTCTTCATTGACAACAAATCTACCACAGAAAGTAATGGCAGTTTAAAGAAATTTCAAGCCATTCAAGTTGAATCAAAATTTGAAAAAAAAAAAATTTTCCCAAATGTTATCACAAATCTCAAAATAAGGGAAAGAGTAACATGTTAGGTTGAGTTGATCAACCTTGACAACATCAATCAAAATCATTAAAAAAATATAAATGGACAGAAATAATAAACACTGATGAACTAAAAACATTCCATGGCAAATGTTCAGACAAGCTATATTTCTTTGTTCCAAAAACATTATATTACATGACCAACCTTTATTGAATCCATTATTAAAGTATCTAACATATATTTATCTAAAACAAATGGTATGTATGTAAAAATGTGTCATATATGAATAAAGTATGACTGCCAACACTTGAATTTGAACTAGGCCAAATAAGGAACACTGATGAAGTAATAATAACATTCCATGGTGTTGTAACCTATGGAAGGTTACTGAATAATCACACGAAGGTTGGTAATGAACGATAATACTTAGGACAAGAACAACACATATAAGATTTGACAGTGGCACTTAGAAGTAGTAGTCAACTGCTGGAAGTGAGTCAAGTGAATTTCACAATGAATTTCCAACTGCAGACCAACATACAGTATTTACTATTGTATTTATGTGAATGGAAACACACCCATTATCGTCTGTAGGTATGCTACAACACATGGCAAATGTTCAGATGAGCTATATTTCTTTGTTCTTGTATCTATGAACACAAAAGAGATTTCCATTTGGACAACCTTTTAAACTCTCTTGTAATACACAGGAACAAAATTGGTCACAACATTGATTTTACAAATGCCACCCGAATTAAAAACAAGCATAATTCTTCATAAAGAAAGTACATCGAGAGCCTACTAATAACAATATTACCAAATATAAATGCACATCAAAAACATTATATTACATGACCAACCTTTATTGAATCCATCATTAAAGAATCTAATGTATGTTTATCTAAAACAAACGCTATGTACATAAAAACATTCCCAAATCAACATATGAAAAACCACCAAATTTAATGTCTAATAGACTCACAGACACTTACAGATATACATTACCATCCGAATAACACATAAACTGAAATTATTATATGCTTAGATAAATAAAGCAATATTTATGGTTTTTCAGGTGGGCTTGGAATCTGTTAAATTCTTGATACTTCGAATGGATGCGTCATCTCTCCTTGAATTCCAAATGCCACAAATTATACAAATTTTGGTTTAAAAGAGTTGAATGCAGGGGAAAAATGATTGACCAACGAAAATCAACCAACACAAAAATAAAAATAAAAGAATTTCTTCTTTTTCTCCAGCAATACATTTTTGAAAAAAAAAAAAAACTATTATCAGCAATAAGAAATTTGTCAGCATTAAGTAACCCATTAAGGTGTTGATATGTCATAAAACAAACCCAACCGACCCATAATGTCTACTACTTACAAATATACAATATTTATGGTTTTTCAGGAAGGCTTGGAATCCATTAATCTCTTGAAACTTCAAATGAACACGTGATATCTCTTTGAATTCAGAACACCACAAGTTATACTAATGTTTGTTTAACAATGTTGAATGTATGTGAAACATGACTAAGCAATGAAAATCAAATCAAAACACAAAAGTAAAAATACTAGAATTTCTTCTTTTTTCCCTGATGAAGCTTTAAAAATAAATGAAGTATGTTAGATTGACAAACATTTCATATTTGTTATCATATATATATATATATATATATATATATATATATATAAATAATGAGTAATGCATAAAAATATATATATAAAATAATGAATACAAATCCTTAAAAATCCATTTGCTTATATTTTGTGGACTTGGCCATCAATAACATCAGACCAGTATTTCATTAACAAAATGCTGGTCTGAAGAGATAAATGTAAAATAAATTTATAACCAAATGTTTTTTTAAGGATTCTGCATTCATTATTATATTTGCTCTGTTCTTACA